CTGTTTCCTTCTTCCTTTCTGGTGTCTCTTTTCCCAGACTCTGATTTTCCTTACATATATGCACTGACCAGTACTCTCCTAAATACTAGAAGTGGACCCTCTGCAAGTCTCTGGAGCTCTCTTTCTGTGCAGCTTTCTCCTCTTTGGCCTCTGCTCTGTGAGTATAGCTGCCTTGGTCTTTCTGTACTATTAGTTCTTTCTCTTCCACTCTGGAAGTCTGTTGGCCCCTGCCTGGACTCTCTTGTCCTGTGTCATACCTAGAAGTGTTCTCAAGGCAGTAAACTGGGCAATCAGAGGGGTCACCTCAATTTGTCTCCCATCTCTCAAGGGTCACTGTCCTTCACAGCCTGATGTCTAATACCTTTAAAGCCATTGCTTCATACACTTCTCTGGTTTTTCCATTGGTTCAGGTGAAAGTTCCCATCCGTTCCCTATTACTTCACTTTGATCAGAAGCAGAAGTTTGGAATTGGTTTATAAAATTTAATTTTGTTTTATAATTATGTAAAATTTTTTGTGGTTACAAAGTCAAATCAACAGAACATGGTATATTCAAAGAAAATTAGGTATGATTTCTGTCCCTTCTATCTTATTTCCTTCCTCCCTGGGGTAGGAAGTGTCTAAGGTAGCTGCCAGTTTTTCCCACCTCCTGATATTCATGGCCTTTTGTAATACCCTCTGCATAAGTAAGCAGCTTCTAACCAATGGCTTATGACAACATAGAGGGGATGTCACTTATATATTGATAATAAGATTGTAAAAGTTTGTGACTTCCATCTTGCTTACAGACTCTTCTCTTGACTCCCTAGATAAGAAAGTTGTAAGTTGGATGGCAAAATACTGTGCGTGGCTTCCTCTCAACAACCAACAAGGACATGAATGCCCTTAGTCCAACAATCCTTGAGGCATTAAATTGTGCCAACAATCATGTAATTGAGCTTGGAAATGAATCTCCCCCATTTGAGTCTTCAGATGAGAGAGACGCCAGCCTGGGCCAATACCTTGATTATAGATTTGTAGAAGACTCCGAAGCAGAGGACTCAGATAATCCATGTCCAGATTCCTGGCCAACATAAACTGTGAAACAATAGATGTGTGTTGTTTTAAGCCACTAAGTTTTGGGGTAGGTTGCTACAATTCAATAGATAACTAATAATACCTTTTGTAGATTATATTTTATTTGATGGCTTATTCTTCCATCATTTGCTTTTTATTTTTAAGGTAAACATATACAGTTGATTTTCATGATTCACAGATTCTGTATCTGCAAATTCACCTACTTGCTAAAATGTATTTATAATCTCAAAATCGATACTCACAGTGCTTTTTCAGTCATTGGCAGACATGCACAGAGTAGCAAAAAATTTGAGTTACCCCATGCACACATTCCCAGCTGAGTTTAAACAAGGGGATGCTCTGCCTTCCTGTTTCAGCTCTCATACAGAGATGAACAGATGACGGGGATGGTAGGGGCAATTCAGTGTAGTGCAAGAAACTCCAGCTCTGGAGTCAGTTGGATAGGGTTTGAATCTAACTCTGGCCTTTGTTACTGGACCTCAGGCAAATTACTTAACTGTTCTGAACCTTGGGTTTTTTTTGGTAAAATAAAGAAAATAGAATCCACCAACATAAGTTGTTTTTAAGGTTATAATCTTAATTATACAAAGTTGTAATTTAAGATTATAATCTATTTTATGTTGATTTATTCCCCTTTGGAGAAATGGTTCAGTATTCACTAATTCTGTGTTTGCAGCAACTTAACTGAACATAGCTACCATGAATAAGTAGAATTAACGGTATACATATTCACATTTTTAGAAAATAAATGGTAATAACAGACTATTTTCATTTTTTTCTACTTTTTTTCCCCTCATATAACATTATATCCTGAAGTTACCTCCATATTAGTACATAGAGACACTTCTCTCTGTCTCTCTCTTACAGCTGAATAGTACTGTTTTGTGTGTATACTGTAATTTATACAGCTAGACCTGTTAGTAGATGTGTGGGTTGACTGATGTCTTTTGGTATTAAAAATAGTAGCACAATGAGTAACTTTTTTTTTTTTTTTTTTTCCAATGTGTATTTGGGATATATTCCTGGAATGGAGTTTCTGAGTTAAAAGGCAAAAGCTTACATGTAGTGTTGTGGTTTTAGACTATTTGATAATCCTCCCCTTAAGAGGTAGAGCTCAATTCCCATTCATTTGATTGTGGGCACCCGTAGTGATTCACTTTCAGGAAATAGAATACAAAAGAAGTAATGAGATGTCATTTTTAATTTAGGTTATAAGAAGACTATGGCTTCTATCTTGTGTGTGCTCTCTCACTATCTTTCCCTTGACTCACTGGTGTGGGTAGAAGCCCGCTTCCATACTAAGAGGGAGGCTTGAGAGGGAAGACCCCTACCATGTCATGAGGATAATAGAGTAGCTGAAGGAAATTCCCCCATGGTGAACAACTGAGCTTGGAAATTGAAATTCTGAGGCTTGTAATCAGCTACTTGATCGAGTTTAGAAGCATATCCTCCTCCAGTTCAGCCTTGAAATAATTGCAGCCCTGGCTGACAGCTTGACTGCAACCTCATGACAGACTAGACCTGAACCACCCAGCTAAGCTATTCCCACATTCTCCAATCACAGAAACTATGAAACAGTTAACTACAACAATGTATATAGTTTCAGACTGCTAAATTTCAGGTAATTTGTTACACAGCAATAGATAATGAATACATATAGTTTTGTTAACTATTGCTAAATCTTCTGTATAGGGGCTATACCATTTTTCTGTCCCATGAGTAATATATGAGAATTCCAGATTCCCATGACTCTAATAACACTGTGTATTTCCAAACTAAGAATACTTTTTTTTTTAACAAGGTAATAGATGAGAGATAGTAAATTACTGTGGCTTTAATTTTTATTTCTTTTATTATAGGAGAGGACTCCTTTCTACCTTCTTTTTGTTTTTTTATTTTTTATTTTTTTTAAAGGAATTCCTTTATTTTTATTTATTTATTTATTTATTTTTGGCTGTGTTGGGTCTTCGTTTCTGTGCGTGGGCTTTCTCCAGCTGCGGCAAGTGGGGGCCACTCTTCATCGCGGTGCGCGGGCCTCTCACTATCACGGCCTCTCTTGTTGCGGAGCACAGGCTCCAGACGCGCAGGCTCAGTAGTTGTGGCTCACGGGCCTAGTTGCTCCGCGGCATGTGGGATCTTCCCAGACCAGGGCTCGAACCCGTGTCCCCTGCATTGGCAGGCAGACTCTCAACCACTGCACCACCAGGGAAGCCCTCTATGTCACTCTTGCTCTCCGTCTCTGCTATGTGAGGACACAGTGAGAAAGTAGTCACCTGCAAGCCAGGGAGAGAGCTCTTACCAGAACCTGACCCTTCTTTTTAAATTAAATATTAAAATAAGGACAGCTTCCCATCATGCTTAGGATAAAGAGCTAACATTTTCACAATTTCTACATGGCTCTGCACAATCTGATCCCTTCCCATATCAACTTCCACTGGTATCACTGCTTTAGGATTCTGAATTAATCATTACTATACCCTTAGTGCATAACACAGTGAGTGACTACAGTGTCTTACGCACAAGACATGCAATAAAGATTGATGTAACTGTGGAAGTTTAAATTGGAGTGCTGTTTGTTGCCCATTTCTTACCCTCTTCTTTGTCTTGACCAAATGTTAGGCCTTTTTCCTCCCCTCATACTCCTAAATTTTGGCTTGCCCCCAAGTTTAAACATACACTAAAGGGTAAGGATATGTGCAACATCCTCCCTCAGCAGCTTACTCTCAGAATCCAAATACCCTAGAAACATTTCCTGTTAAAGTACCCTGGTTTTGCCACTTGCACACCTCCATCTCTTGAAAGTTCCTGCTAACACTTCTTACACCTCCCTACTAAAGAAAAGCCTTTTTCTGTTTGATTTTGTGAGGTGCTTGCAGATTTCTGAGATTGGTGCATTCTCCCTATTGCAATAATCTTTCTGAATAAAATCTCTTCATATCTAAATCCAGACATGTTTTTATTTGACATGGGAAACAAAACTGCTAATGTAAAATTGCTGCTCATTTAATTACACACAAGCCAGAAATCATGGCTCTTTTGAAATCTATGATGATTCAAAATTGTATCTATTTATGTACAGGAAACATCAGTTTGTTAGTATGCCTTTTTTTTTTTTAAGTAAAAAAGCTTGATGTAAGGTAAAGGTTATGATAAGTGTTTCGTTGGTTCTTCTTTTTTTTTTTTAATCAAGTGATTTTTTTCCCTGAAGTCTAACCTCCTCACTCTCTTCCTCTCTTTTCTTTCCTTCTGTTGTTTTAGTCTCCTCCTTCTCGGTCTCAGTCTCCCGTGTTGTGTCCGGTTTCCCACTTCTGTTCCTGTGCTTCCATTTTTCACGCTTAAGTTTCCCATCTGTCTGTCTCCACAAGCCTTCTCCTTTGCCCCCATTATTCTTGTTTTCTCCTAGTCTCTGATTCTCATCTCCTCTTCCCTCTCTTTATTTTCTTCAGTCGGCCTCTGCAACTTATTGCAGTAGTAGTAGTTTCCCCTAGAGAATTCCATATAATCGTTTTTAGCGTAAAGTTCATTATTTCTGTGTGTTCTCTTTCTCTGCTCCTCAGTGAACTCTTCCATCACTCTGGCCCACAGTGGAATCTCCATTCCACGTTTTCACCCCTCTCAGCAAGTAGAATCTCCCGGTAGAGGGCTGTGCCATTTACAAACACTTTTAGGTAAAGTCTCCAATGAGAATATTTTACTGTTCCAAATTCTTCCTCTTCCACCAAATGAAGCTTTCTAATAGAGGACATTCACTCAAACTTCTTACCCAGGCCTCCTATAAAATATCTCTGCAAAATTTTGCATGTTACTGGTTTGTATAATTCTCCTTTATGTCTTTTCCCCCTCCCCTCGCTGCCGCGGTGGTACAGCCCAGCCTCTGAATAAACCGAATTCCTCTGCTTGTACGGAACCGGCCGGCCTCTCAAGATGGCGGCTCCCACTGAGACACAGCGCATGGGATCGGCCATATTGCCTCCTGAACAAAGCCGCCCAGGGTGCGGAGTGGGCAAAGCTGCCCGGTACCGAACAGCGCAGGCCCGGGAGCCCAGTGCTTTGCTCACCCAGACAGGAAGCGGGAGAGTTCGCCGCTATGGATGTGACAGCTGTCCCGGGTTAAGCCGTGACGGGCGTTTCTAGATCTGATAACGGAACTGCAGGTCAGAAGGCGGACATGTGTGGTGATGAGTGAGTCTTTTGGATTGGTAATGGAACGGGAGGGGTCCGTGAGTGTCAGTGATTGGAGACTGATGAAGTCACTGGTGGGGAAGGTATGTAGGATTAGGGTTGGGCTTATTTGGGAGTCAGGGATGGGGTGAGCTGTGAGGTTAGTAATTGGATAACGGTGTGTCAGTGACGGGGTTGTCTGTGGGATCAGAAATGGTGTGTAGGGGAACTGACTGGTGATGGCTGGGTCAGGGATTTAGGGGACTCTGAGGAATCAGTGATTGGTGAGGGAGGCTGTGGACTAAATGATGAGGGCATCCATGTGGCAGTCAGTGATGTGGTGGGCATGGGGCAGATCTGTGGGGTATGTGATTGCTAGGTCCGAGGATTCAGAAATTTGGAGGGAGCAGTAACGGGATCAGGGAATCTTGATGATCAGCCCTACTGTTTTTTACATACATTAAAATTTCCACAGGTCATAGGCAACCTTAAAGGTCAAATCTCTTCTCAACCATTATGCCCTTATTCTGGTGCCCCGCATAAAAATGATCATTTTGAAACAAGACCAAACAAATCAAAAAAGATAGGATTATTATGAAAAGTGTGATTTTCGTCCTACCTCTTTCTAAGTTTATTGAAATCATTTTATATTTTATTCAAGAAATATTTATTGAACACCTGTTGGATGCCCAGAGATAAGTATGACTATTTCTCCTGGTTGTTTCCTTCCAGATCTATTTTGACAAAGCCTGGAATACCCCATATAAAACAGTCTGTCTATCATGGGAGCACCCACTTCCTCTGAACCGGTTAAGTCTTACCTACCTGACTCCTTCTGGGACTGAGAAGGATTTCCCAGGTATGTACCTTCTTACGTTAGGGTGTATTCCGTTGTATCAGTGGTTCCAACTTACCACCATTTTTATATGCAGACAAACATACTGTTGAAATCAGCAATAAAAATTTAAACGGAAAACATCTTAAAATTAACATTTTGGTCCATGAATATTGATTGGCAGGAAAATCTGCTGAGTTGAAGGAAAATATGAGAGCTCTTGGGAGATTATTAGAATTCAGCTGCTGATTCCTTTCTGGGGAATACGGGAATACATTCCTCAGTTTTTCATTTGCTCATGAGCCATTCTTATGGCCGGGGAGCTTCATCTTTGTGTGTGTGTGTGTGTGTGTGTGTGTGTGTGTATTGCCTTATGAAAACATTAGAGTGGAATTGCTGGTTCATAGTGGGGAAAATAAGTTGTTAATAAATCAACAGGAAACATATGTTCACATCTGTACAATTAAATTAAAAAACCTTGTCCAAGTTCTGTATGATCATAGTATGTAGTCACAAGAGGACTTCCTTCACATGGTACGTGCTGATCTTTCTATAAAGACCGAACAGTCTTCTCCCACAGGTTGACCCAACATCTACCTGACTTCTGTGGTAGTTGTTTCTAGACTGCTGAATGTGGAACCTGCAGTCTGTGTCTGATCTGTGAAAACATCCTTCTGATCACCAATTTTGCCTTTTCAGTCATCTACCTTTTTAGAAGAGAACAGAAAATGATGAAGTCCCAGGTGAGTTGCTTTAATTTTTAATTTCTTAAATTTCTTATTTTGGTTCTTCATACAATCAAATGGAAAAATGAAGATAGCTAAAATTTGGATCAGGGAAAGACAGCCAAAATAAAGATCCAGACCTAGAAAGAGTTGCTAGGTAATATGTAGATAACCTGGCCTGAAACCATTTACAAAAATGGAGGTACCAATTTTTCTTATCTTTCTTGCTGACATCATCAGTTACATGATTTGCAGACCTCTGAAGAGAAAACAGATACATTTCCCATGGGAAGAAATTATTTCTTGCCATATAAGACTAAGATTTCATTTTTGGGTCTTTCTCTAGGTGGTGGAGTGTGCAGTGTTCTCACCAACACTACTGTGGTAAATGCAATTATAAATTTCTTGTAGCTGTATCACAGAGTGATTCCTTTTAGAGGGAAGTTATCATAATGTCATAGCCAAACTCCTTAACTTTATCCTTTAGAGCTGGAGTTATCAAACTATTGCCTAGATTCAGTTCTCCAACTGTTTTTGTAAAAGTTTTATTGGCAGCACAACCATGCCATTTGTTTACATATTGTCTATGGCTACTTTTATAGTACAATGGCACCATATGGCCTGCAATGCTGAAAATATATACTTTACTGAAAAAGTTTGTTGACCTCTTCTTTAGAGGACCAGATTGATTATAGAGGCTTCCTATTGGCCAGCCTTCTCTACTGATAAAGTCTAGATAACATAGGATGGATACATTTTGAATGGTCTTCCAAAATACATATTTCTTTAAAAAGGCAGTTCTTGAAATATAATTGTCTGGCCGAGCTTTGGAGAGCAAGGGTCACTGATGCTCTGTACCCTTTACTATGGTTTCAGAGTTTGTAGGATTGCTGTCTAACTTGGGGCTAGTTCCTTTTCTGTGTTTCTGTTTTTAACAGTCTGTTATTTTTTCTCCCTGCCAATATTCACTATATATATGGTATAAAAATCTTTAACTATATAAAAAGATAAAAATTTAAACACTGAGGGACCTTTTAACTTAAACTCTCCTCCTCCTGAGATTATCAGTATTAACCATGTTTGTAACCTTGTGATGGAGCATACATGTGTAATAGTACCAGTGCCAGGGGTGTCTCTTACTTTCTTGTTCCTTTTTTGGGGAAAAATAATGTTATAGTAAACATTCTGTTTTGCAACTTGATTTTTAACTTTACTGTCCAGTATAACAATTTTTGTATACATTTTGAATATCTTCCTATGCTGGTATATAGAATTCTCCTTTATTATTTTATCAGATCCATAATATATCCTGTGGACTGGAATTGTTTCTTCATCTGTAAAATGGAGATTGTAATCCTTATAGGGTTGTTGTGAAAATTGAGTAAAAACCACACTTAGAACTGTAACTGAGGATGGTTTGTTTTATATTTAAGCATTAGCTATTATTATTATATCATCATTATTATTGTCAAATCTTGGAATCAGCTTTTGCATTAGGAGTTCTTATGTATATTTTACAGTGGAACTTAACAAATGAGTTCTATTGTGAAAAGACAGGTTTTTTCCCTTTTTGGGTCTCAGTAGCTTTGGAGCTGTGCTGTCCAATATAGAGCCACCAGCCTCATGTGGTTATTGAGCACTTGAAATTGGCTAGTCTGAATTGAAGTGTGCTTTGAGTGTAAAGTACATAGTGGGTTTTGAAGATATAATTGCAGAAATTCATTAATAATGTTTAAAGATTGATTACATGTTGAAATGATATTTTGAATATACTGGGATAAATATATATTATTGAAAATAATTTTTTGAATGTTGCCTCTAGAAAATTTAAAATTACTTATCTAGTTGGCTTTATAGTTCTGTTAGAGCTGCTTTAAAGATGAAAATGGATTTTTTTATTGGCCCAATAAATCCAACTATCATGGCTAATTAACTTGCTTGTTAGCTCAGGAAGAAAGATTTATATTTTTTCCATACAGTCCAGAAGTGAAGTCATCATTTTCACACATACCTATCTTTCTTTTCTTCCTCTTAACACCTACTCCCCTTCCATTTCCTCCATCTCTTCCATTCTTCCAGTCACTCAAGCTGTAAAAATTGCTTGTAGCTGATTGGAAAGTACAATTTTCCACTGATTATGCACTATTTTACTCAAAATTTTACTCAATATTAACAAAATTTATACATATTTAGTATATTAAAGCATTCTAGTATCATTGATAAAGCAAAGTTAGAATGTCAGCATTACGTTTATTAATTTTCTTATCAGAATGGTTTCCCTCTACATTCTACATTTATCTTCCTCATGTTACTGTCCTTTAGATCACAAGAATATTCTTGACAGTATACAAAACTGTTCTTAACTAAGCATAAAGTTTATTTTATTCTCTATAATTTTCATTCATTCCTTTTTAGCAGACATTTCTTGAGTAGTCAATATATGTCACAGGTGCTGGCTGGCTGTGGAATATCTCAAGAGTTACGCATGGTTCTTTCTTGGGAAGAATGCAGAGAAAAATGGGGTGAACAGATGTGGAAACTAACATTAACACATAAAAGCTCTATAATAGACATGGGAGCAAGGGACTTTTATAGTCGATAAGGGGGAGCAGCCAGCTTTATAAATAAGTCAAGGATAAGAGTCTTAAAAGATTATTAAACTCTGGATCTTGAAGGAAGTAGGATGAGGATAGGAAACAGCATTTGAAAAAGTAGAAAAGGCTGAGAATTTGAGGTAAACTAAAGCGGAGGGTGTCTCATGGCAAGTTTGTCTGAAGGCAGCATTAAGGTAATAAAATATAAAAGGTCTTGTTTACAGTATCAAGCAAGGCATTGTGGAATAAGTACAGTGGTCAAGAACCCAGCTACTAAGTCAGGACACCCGCTTTTTCTTTTTTTTTTTTTTTTTTTAT